GTGGGAGGCCCCGGGGCTGCCTTTGCTGGCAGCATCTCCCCGGCCGACTCGGATCCAGCAGTGTCTGCTGGCTGCCTGCTGCAAACACCAGTAAAGTCCCTGGGGTCGCAGGGAGCTAAACCCTGGGTGTCCAAGGCTGCCGGGGTTTGGCCTGTGCTGGGTGGGAGGACAGGCGCTGATCCCGTTCCTGCAGCTCTCTCACAGGCTGTGGCTTCCCCTCCTGCACAGGTCATCCAGGAGACCAGCGGTCTGCTGTGCGAAGGAAGCAGTGAAGGCAACCAGTACATCCCAGATTCACAGCGTCTCAGTTACCCAAAGGTACTCCTTGTCTCTACAGAGAGAACTAGCACTTAGGCTTTTCCACCCTGTTCCTTTAATAAATAAAAGTTGTAGGTGCAGTAATTTTATCTGAGCAAAGGCTGATCCGAATGTAACCAGACCCCTGTTCTGCTGAAAAGGAGCATTATTGGAACTATCTTAATTTTCCTTTGCAATCTTAATTTTGTTGCTACATCTTTCCCCCAAAACTGACTCGGCGTTGGGCTCTCCTGCATACAGGGCAGCAGCACTATCTCATCCAACAGGACAGCTGTGCTCACCGAGAGCTTTGGGAGGGATGTAGACCCTTGGACGCCAGGGCTTGCATCAGTCTTTAGTCCAGGTTTAGGCAACACTCCCCCTGGGGTCAGCTTGTTCCAAAACAGTGGGAGGAGAAATAAACCATCATAGGTGTCTGACAGACACCCAGAATGGACCTGTTTGGGCACCTGGTCAGTTCCTCTGCCCATGCCCTCCTACGGGGTCTAGCGAATGCCCCCAGCAGCCAGGCTGCAGGGCAGGAGGCTGTTGGGTGGCAGCGGTGGTGCCACCGCAGAGGTGAGCCTGGTCAGAGTGGTTCGTGTGCCAGATCTGCCCATGTCAGGCTGAGAAGCAATGGGAAGGGCACAGCGTGAGCGGGTGGGCATGGGATGTCTGTGTGAAAGCATCTCTATGGGCCTTGTAACTCAGGAGTGGGGGAAAAGGCAGTTGTGGCAGGTGATGGCTGGAGGAACGGGTCACATGCATCTGCAGAGCTTGTGTCTGGTGCTTGTTGACAGGTGGAGGTATCCGAGAGGTACTCTGCAGCCTCCGAGAGCGGGAGCAGCACGGACGGCCACCCAGAGACGGTTGAGATAAAAGATGGTAAAACTTCACCCTGGGAATGAGGGGGAAACCAGGCCATTGACTCTGCACGTGCGGTGAGGGTGTCTGTAGTGTCTGCCACTGCCATCCCAGGCTGGCCTGATGCAGGGTGAAAGCTGCATGTGAATTCACTGCCTTGCTTTCTTTTCCATAACGAAGTGACAGGTGGATGTTGGGATTTCTCAGCAGTCACAGAGTTAGGATAGCGCTTGAGAAACCTGGGTGTGATGCCTGCCATACCATACAGATCCTGCACAGCTCTGGGCAGGTCACTCGGGGACAGTCTGAGATGACATAAATCCAGCCTAAGTGACTTGCCTCAGAGATCTCTGCAGGGAAGCCAGAGTGCCTGTGTGAAGTGCTGAGCTGTCTCCAGTGGGAGAGTTACACCTGCACAGTAGGGCATCTGACTTCAGGCTTTAAGCTCCGTTCTCCACTATAAGATGGGTCAGGTAAGAACATTATAAGAGGAGATGCTCTGTCAGAAGAGTGTTGGGACCCGTCTACATATTGGAGAAAGAGAGAAATCCATGGTGAGGACTCACTGGAGTCACCCAACAGATGGAGCTCGGCTGCTCAGTCCCTCTGCATTAGGACTTCATCATTTTGTCATGCTGGAGAGAAAGAAATCTGGACTAAAAACATTCAACTTGACCCCAGCCCCAGCCATATTCATGCACTGGCTGCTGTGCTCAGTGGGAAAAGGCTGAAGAGCTTCTTTGGGCATCAGCTTCGGGCTTTGGACTGTTACAGCCCGCTCCCGAGTTGCGGGTTTGCCCTCTGCAAGGGACGTGTGTGCCTCAGCGCTGCTGGGTGCAGGACGGCAGCGCGGGCAGCCTTGGGGCAGCACACCCAGCTGGGACAGCAGCCTGTGTGTCTGGCTGTGAGCGGGGAAAGCCACGCAGACATCTTTTTCTTCTTCTTTTTTGGTAGTTAAGAAGAAGGGCACAACTGGGCTGAAACTGAGCAACCTGATGAACCTCGGGAGGAAAAAATCCAGCTCCCTGGATAGCCCAGAGAGATCCCTGGAGACTTCAAGTAAGTGGCAGCATGAGCCCCTCTGCAGGGACTTGTCTCAGAGCTGGGTCTCGATGTGCCGGGCAGGATGAGCACCAGGCATCGTCCCTCATAAACACACATGTGCCAGGCTGTCCTGCCGGGCGAGGCAAAGAGGCCACAGGCTGCTTGGTCCATGCCAGTAAATCCATGCGGATTGTGGTGCCCTTTACACATTAAGGGGACTGTGTGGCTTGCAAGGGTGGGCAATAGCTCCCGGGGTGACCCAAGAGGAAGGGCAGGTAATACCAGACATGCACGCAGAGGGCATCTGTGCTGCTCTTCCTGGGCATCAGCCCAGGGGATTGGGAGTCAGCAGGGAGAGGGTCGTGTGGGTCAGCGGGTGTTCACCATCTGGCACCAACCTTGTCCAACCATCTACAGCCAGCTTGCTGCTCCAAACCTAACCTGAATTTCAAGGGTCTCATTTTGAACAGATTTTTGCCCTTTACACCCTGTTTCGAATGCACAGGAGAGCTTGTCTTTGTGCTTTTGCTCTTTGTCATTGCCTCTGGCTTTGTGTTGTATGGTGATCTGGGAACTTACCCATCAGACATCCCTGTGCACCCAAAGGAGTTTGGACTCCCTCTCCCCATGGGGTACAAAATGTGCCTAAAAGTAACCTGTGCTTACTTGCAGGTTACCTGAATGTGCTAGTGAACAGCCAGTGGAAGTCCCGTTGGTGTCAGATAAAAGACGGTCACCTCCATTTCTACCAGGACAAGAACCGAAGCAAACTGGCTCAGCAGCCCCTGAGTCTGGCAGGTTGTGAAATTATTCCAGAGCCAAGCCCTGATCATCTCTACTCCTTCCGCATCCTGCACAACGGGGAAGAACGGGTCATTCTGGAGGTAGGGTATATATCTCCAAGAAAGCTCTGCTTCAAGTCATCAGCTTGGGTGTCTTAGTAGGCCTAAATGCTGGTGAGGTCCTCCAGAGGAACCCTCAGTCCAGCAAAACAGAACCTGAACCATGGGACTTGGGTTCATCTGTCTGTGGTCACCTAGAAGGTGTCCCATCTACCTGGTAGTCCAGGCCATGTCTGATGCTGGTGCCTGCAGAGGACCATTCAGCCTTCATCTTAGGCACTCATCTCGGGATGGGATGAAGGGTCCTCTGGAGGTGCCCATCTCTCTCCACTGAGTATAGGATAACCCTGGACGACTGCGTTAGATGGGATGCATTTCAGATGGTTAATGTTAGATGAGAGGAATGCCACTTTTGGGATTTAAGTCTGTGGTTAGGAGAAACAGAGAACTTCATCTTCAGAGAGTCCCAAAGCCACAGGTCATGCATCCCAAGTAAACACGGATCTGCCCTGAAAGTGCGAGTGAATTCATTTCCATCTGTTACTTTCCTTTGCCTGCATCCAGGACTGTTTATCTCTAATCTTAGTTCTCTCTGACGACAGCGTAATTATAGTAGGAGGTGGACAGCGTGAGCAATTTCCTGTATTTTTCCAGTGGGTGGAATATTTATAGCTAAACAACTGACTTCAAGGGCCTGCCATGAAGTTTGAAGGTGTTTTTGTTTAGCTTCTGATTCGGGGTATGTCTGCGTCTAAGAAATTTTGCACAATTATAAACCTAAAGAAGAGGTGCTGGGAAAATTTACATTTTGTGAATGGAAGAAACTGTATTTTCCCGGGATGTCAGACTCCATGTACAGACTGGCTCGCTGGCGGGCTTCCCAGGGACTGAAGTCTCTGCTAAATAAAACAGATTGCAAGCTTAAACTGTACTTTCCACTTTGGGATTCACTTGCCCTGAATTTTACTTTGTGCTTACTGCTGTAACTCCTCAAATCAAAGCAGAAGATGGCTGCAGCAGCCCCACTTCTTCTCGCTTCAGGTAGAAACCCCCCGCTACAGGGAAGTGCATGTGGCTGTTTGCTAGAGCTGACTTCAAGGCTCCGTATTTAACTCTTCAGTCTGCAAAATGTCAGACTGTTCGCTGCGGCTGGGAATTTTGTACTGATCATGTTGAAGCGAGGGACTCTCCCTGATGTTCTCTGACCCCGCTTTGAACCCTTCCCCTCCCCTCTCCCCTGTGCAAACAGCCCTGGCAGGGGTTGGGGCTCTGCCCCGGGCTCCCTGGTGTGCTCGGGTCCCCTCGCACATCAGTGCTCGGCCATCCCATTGCTGCGCTCTGCCGGTGCGAAATCAAATCCGCACGCTTTCCTCGCCAACGCCGGCTCCCCACCAGCACCTCCAGCCACAGAGACTTCGCTTACTCTTGTAGGCAGCTGAGCTGGTCATCGCTGAAAGGAAGATGCAGACTGACTAGAAATTGTAGAAGGGAGTTAAGCGAAGAGCTGCATTCATGTATCTTCCAAATTTGTGAATCAGTCCATGCAGAGAGCAATACTTTTTTCCTCTTTAATGTGGTATCAGGGCTAACACAAGTACCTGGCCGTTCATCTTTCCCCTTGCACGCCAGAGGACGGCCAGCACGGTTCCCTACCCAAGGCTACGGCAGCATCAGCCTTGGGAGCGCGGAGAACCTGCTGCTGCACCCTGTGCTATCTGTCTGATCACCTCGTAGGCAAAGTCCTCGGAGGAGATGGGCCACTGGCTGGGCCTCCTCTTGTCGGAGTCAGGCTCCAAAACAGACCCGGAGGAATTTACCTACGATTACGTGGACGCCGACCGGGTTTCCTGCATTGTGAGCGCTGCGAAGAACTCCTTCTTGTACGTCAGCGGCAACGCGCGGGACTGGTGGGGGGAGCAAGCTGGGGCGGGGGGGGCCCTCCACTGG